GCTCTTCCCGCGGTGGGGGCTCGCTTCGCCGGGGTCTGCTGGAGCAGCTGCTGTGCGCGGAGCCCAACGCCCCCGCAGGCCTGGGTTGGGCGGGGGGGGCCTGGGGAGGTCCGGCGTATCCCCCTGAAAGCCCGCTCTCATGGTGATTTTTGATTGCAGCACCATGTTTGTACGTGGGGGGCTAAAGAAGCACCTTCAGTGTAGCTGTAGGTCCCTCTGAAAGAGGTCCAAAGGCAGAATTTCTCTAACTTACAGGTTTTTAGTTAATATTTTTGATACTGGACTGTTGTAGATGATTAATTTATTAGTGCTGTAAGTGGTTGTAAAGGAAGTGACAGTGTATGTACTTTATTTCAGGAAACTTTATTCTTCATCCATTTACATTTTAATGTGTTTTAGAAATTGTTTGAAACCTTAGACATTTAAAAATAAACGTGTCGTTCTCAGCAGATAATGTTAGGGATGAAGGAAGAGAATGTATTTAAGTGATAACTTTTTTTGATACCTGCTTAATTACACTTCCAGTTAAATAAAAGGTAGGACAGTGTGATGTTTTTAGGATTTTGGAAATGGGACGGAAGATGGCAGTGAAAGTTGTCAGGGCCGTGAGCACACCTTGTGTGCCCTGAGCAGCCTCACCCGGGGCCTCTGCCTATGCCCACTGCCCAGGAGCCCCGTTTCAGCTCAGGCCTGAGCCTTCAGTCCCTGCCTCAGCTGTGCCATGGGTATAGCCTTGCCACCAGTCCAGCCTCTGGCCCTGTCTCCTCGACGGACCTTGGACCTGTGTTGTAGCCTTGTCTCCAGCCCTGTCTCTGGCCCCATCTGCTGCTGCTCCTGACTGGACTCCCTGGGTGGACCCCGGACCTGATTCATCTCCTCCTTTTATGTGGGCACTGTCAGTGGACCCTGCTTTGCCCACCTTGTTCAGGTCTGTTGAGACTGTACCCTGCTCCGTGAGAGTACTGCCTGTGCTGCGGTCACCCTGGGCTCCTGGCTCATGCCGTTGTAGAGGATTCCTACTCTTGCTGTTCCAGATAAGAATTTGTTTTAGAAACTGATTTAATTTTTTTTAAATCTTTTTCTGTCAAAATAAAAGTCCATGTGAAACTGAAAGCTGAGTTTTAGCAGACGAGAGAAGCGCTTTTTTTTTATTTGACATATATTTTGCCTTTACAGAGATATGTTACTTATTTTTTTCTCCAAGAAAATCTCTCAAAGAAAACCAACACCTTGCTTTGACTGTAGCTTGTGTATTCTGTGAACAAGCTTATTGAGAAACTCCTTCAGATGTGTACTTTGATAAGCGTTCAATAATTCTCTTACTATTTTGTAGTTGCCTTTAGGCAGCAGAAATGGAAAAGCTCTGTCTCCACACGAGCAAAAATGCCTCCTTGTGATTTTGTACCTGAAAAATACGAAGTAAGTATTACTTAAATTCAGTGTAATATGTAAGACTGCATTACTAGATCTGAGTGATAGGCTCATCTGCTATAGTCAGTGCATTAAATATGATTATAAAATTCGCTTGTTTGGGCAAAACCCAATTATGTTACAATGAGAATATAACCTATAGATAGATGTGACAATTCTGTAACTTATGGCTAAATTGTTGATTTGAAAAACTTTAAGGAAGAGGTAAGTGCAGAACAGCAGTCTTATTTCAAAAGCTGAGTTTCGGAGGTTTGTAGAACCCTCTGTGTGCCAGAATTTGTTAAAATCATATTTCTGTGAACAACCGCTGTAGACAGCTGTGTAATCTATGTGATCTACTACAGCTCCATTAGTCTGGATCTTTAGAAAGCATAAATGGATACTGACTTTCTTATTCCACTCAGTCCTATCCGTATGAACGTATGCAGAAGATTCGTGAACAAAATATTTCTCCTTCACTGCGAATGTATTACAAGAAGCCATTGTTGCTGCATCAAGGACATATGCAGTGGTTGTTTGATTATGAAGGACAAAGATACCTTGATCTTTTTGCTGGAATTGTCACTGTCAGTGTTGGTCACTGTCACCCGTAAGTTTGTTACTGTTTGATTTATACTATAAAATACAGGAAGAGATACCTATGTTGGTTTTGTTCTTTGTTAATCTGTGGCATTGTGAGCCTAAAGCCAGAATATAATTCACTAAATGGTCATGTATGTCTTACATTAAGGTCAATTTCCACTACATTTTGAATAATTCATTAATTTTGTCTGTTTGTTCACCCCTCTAGCAAATGGCGCAGTGTCTGCGTTTTCAGAATTAGTAACAGGTAGGTGTGTGCATGTATGTGTGTACATGTGTGTTGAATTGAATCCCTTTGTCTCTTCTTGTGCTGCATGCAGGAAGGTAACTATAGCTACCCAGAAACAGCTTGCTCGCCTGTGGCATACCACCAATATCTACATGCACCCGTCAATCCAAGAGTATGCTGAAAAGCTAACTTCTCTTCTTCCAGATCCACTTAAGGTACTTTGCTTCTGACAGGAGCAGGGGCTGGTGAAGGGGGTGTCTGTTTATAAGAAATATTTAATATATTTATTGAATAAATGAGAGCCACGATATCTGTGGAGAGAAAACCTGTATGGGGGACTACAGACACCAGATGAAGAGAGCATGATGACTCTCAAGGCCTTTTCTTTAGACCCAGATGTAGACAAGCGTAATATCCCAAGCTCCTGTTCTGTTTGTTCTCTCCTTCCAGTTGTCACTGTGAAGGGGCATTGCCAGCTTAAAAATTATTGAAGGAACTAAGAAGATGTTAGCTATTCTTATATGTAGCCAGCCTTAATTTGCTTGATCTCATGAAAATTTACAGTGAAAAGTATTTGGCAGTACTTTGTGTAGTGAGGTTTACTGACATTTAAATAAATAAACCACACAAATGCCACATTTTATATGCCTAGAAACACTGAAAAAAAGTGTTTACTTTCAGGTAAAATAAACTGGTCATAAAATGAAATGAGCTTAGTAGAAGAGTGTGAAGCTATCACAATGTTAAAAATGGAAGGGGAGTTTAAAAAAATTTAAAAATATAAGGCATCTGCATAGTTTAAGCAGTGGAGAATCTCAGTCACTTCTGAAAATTAACAGTGGTGACACTAGAATTTGAGCTGTTTTCAAATCTCAGAACTTGTATTCAGGTTATCCCCTTAATTATCATTTGCTCCCAATAAGCAAGCTCTGCTTACCTCTTCTGTTCCAATGTTGTGTCTCTGTATGTCACTCCTAGTAACTAACATGCAGGGACACTGTACAGCCCTTTTTACCTGTGTGAAGGTTATTTCTATTCGGTCGGTGATGCTCAATTTGTCCCAGACACTTTCATTTTTCTTTGAATCAATGTTCCATCTTAGGAAAACCTGAAGACTCCAACTCTTGAAGATTTTCTGTACTGTCCCTGAGTAGATCAGCTTGATCTTAGTTCTCATCTGTAGTGTATGGGCAACATTAAGTTTATTACGGTGAAGTCGCCTTGTGGTAGTTATAGATTATAGCTCATAATCTTACGACATGGTCTGATGTCAAACAAGAAGGTGGTGGTTGTGTGCTGTACTGATCCTAAGCATTCTCCTGCAGGTGGTTTATCTAACCAACAGCGGGTCAGAAGCCAACGATTTGGCTATGTTCATGGCAAGGCTATATACTCGTAACTTCGACATTATCTCTTTCAGGTAATGGTGATAGATCTTTACAAAACTCATTTGTGTGTCTGATCAGTATCTATATGCCTAAACCAAGAAATAATAGAGAACTCTTTAACCCCAGATCTGCTGAGGAGAACGCTATAAAATTATTTTATTTGACAAAGAGGAGTAAAACAGGAGTTGAAGATTTGATACAGTATATTAGGACGAGTTTGCATACAAAACACAACCTGCAATTTTTGCTTTTCTTACTTAGAAAAGGGTCTAGTCTCTGTGTTCAGGATGTGCTTTGGTGGATCTTCGTTCAGGGCCAGAGCAAGCTTCAGGAATTGCTACTTTCTTCCTTCATTCCACCCCTGCAGTGCCCCCCTTTGTGGGGGTACAAAGGTACCTCTGGAACAGCAGTGCAGTGAACCACAGCGGGGAACTGCTCTGGCTGAAAGCTAACCTGGCGGAAGGATTTTTTGTTTTGTTTGTTTTGCTGCCGTATTTTTCTGCCAGATCCCTGAACCATAGTTCACTGCACAGGTACACAAACAGCTCTTCTGGCTTAACGACAGAGGTGGTGCAGGGGTGAGTGCTATGTAAGCACCAGTGTAAGCAGTTCTTCTCTTTACAGTACATCCCAGGTGGCCTCAAATATTAGAATAAAAGGCCTTGTTATAAAGAGCTGTATTTTTCTGTTATTCTGTTCAGCAGAACACTGGGTACCCACCTAGCTTGTATATTCTCATTAATGAACTTTTGATTTGTGTACAAAACTGGCAGCAAACCACCATGTAGTTTAATGATTGGCAGCATCTGTTGGAGAGAGCAGCAGTTCCCAAGATTCAAAGAACAGAGATGTTTGCTCTGTAGGGCTCAGGTGCTACAGCAGAACTTCCTGAGGCACTGTCTGAATTGCTGTTGGTTCCAATCATTGTTCTCTTCCCCTCACAATTTTAACATTTGAAATTTCAGGAAACCAATACAGATGGGCAGTCATGGGTCTTCCAAAACCAGGGCAAAAAAAATGGCAGTAGGAATCTTCTTGTTTTGAGTGTAACAATGCACATTTTCCCCAATAACTTATAGCTCAGAAGCGTGCCTTATCAGAACTAATATTGCTACAGTCTCTTCTTGGAAATTAATAATGTTCATGTGCTTTGTTTGTTTTCACAGAGGAGCGTACCATGGAGGCAGCCCTTACACGCTGGGATTGACATCTATTGGTCCTTATAAGCATGGTCTTGCCAATGGCTTTGGCTGTTCAACAGTGAGATTTTTTTTTTTTAATAATCTGGGTAACTAACAGTTTATTTGAATATTTCAACAATTAGTATGTTTTCTATCCTCAAAGTGCTTTATGGTCACTAACTAAACTGCATTGTAGCTGTTCCTGCTGTGTAAGCACAACAAGAGCCTGAGTCACCTTTCCTTCTCCATATAGTTACTTATGCTAATTTGGAGTTGGGACAGCCATAACACGAGTGGTCATGATTTACAGTGCTTTAGTCATGCTTGGTGCTTGCATGGAAGTCTATGTACGGTGCAAAATAATAATGCTCAGAACCCCTTTTCTCAACTTGTTTTGGCAAATCTGTGCAAAGCTGCTTTCAGCTGGTCTGAAGTAGATCCTCCCCTGGAATGAAAAAAACCCTGTGTCCCTCATCTCGGTGAGACAGAAGACATAGCTGTTAAGGAGATCCATTGGGGATAAATGGCAAAAAGTTACCTCCCTGCCTTTGAGCAGGTGGGAATGACTTTCTGTGTGCTAGTAGCTGTCATTGGCTACTCTGATCTGTACTGGCGATAGCTCAGCCACAGCAGTGGCTATAGGAAGGCTCCTTTATAGCAGCTTCCCAACCTGGCTCAATAAATGAGTTGCCTGAAGTTACGCAGTGTTTCATCAGCAGTCAGGATGAGAAGGCTGGAGTTCCCAATTTCCAGCCTGTAATTACTCTACTAGATCAGCCTGCCTTCCTGTATTTTGCAGATTTTTATCATACTTTGGATTATTGACGTACTACCGGCAACTCTAAAAATGTTGCTATTATTCTTAGATATCCAAAACTGCTGACTAACTTAAAGAACAAAATAAAGGAAGTCATCAATTGAGTGACTATTGCTGGAATAGTCTAAACTTGTTTCCAAAACTTCTGTCTCTGTTCTACCATTCCTTGAGGGGGAAGTTTGGTATTATTTCACAAGTGTTCTTCAGACAAGTCGCTTGAACTAGGTATGCCCTTTGACTCTAATGGACTTTTTTTAGTTTTTTTCATTAGTCACCCCTAAGTATGATCAAAACATCTCTTAGAAAGGTGTCGTCAAATCTGTAGCTATTTCTCTTATGCTTGACAGACAATGTTACCAGATGTTTTTCGTGGTCCATGGGGAGGCAGCCATTGTAGAGATTCTCCAGTGCAAACTGTTCGAAAATGCAGCTGTTCAGAAGGTTGGTCAATGACAAAAAGTATTTGGCTCTTAGATTAGAGAATACTAGAGGGCTGTGGAAATAGGTTATATTTACCTCCTCAAGAAAGGTAGACCTCTAGTTAGGATTTGCAAGGGCAACCAAAGAAAATACTGCAGAGAACCTCAGGCACCTGCTTCCCGCTGAGAAAAATTTTGGGCAGGTAACACCTCATATTCTCAGATTTCTTCTTAAAATCCCAGCCTTTGTTGCCAGCATTTGTCATGATCAACTCTGGAAGCTGTGGAACTCAGTTTAGCACATCTGGAAGAACAGAAATGTTGATTGGTGTTTTCTGCTGTTTCTAAAGTTTTGACAGCTCTCCAGCTTTTGTTTTGGAATATGAATAGTAAGGACAACCTGAAGCCAGTGATAGGCAAAAAGTCTTATATGAGGCAAAACATTCTGTACGCAGCACAATGTGAAAGCCCCTCTACTGCTCTCCTATTAACAGCAACTACAGTAATTTTTTACCACTGTTTCAACAGGTACTCTTTAGTATTTTAATTCACATGCATACATAACAATGTTTTCTTTTTAGCTTTGCCCTCCCTAGTGAATGGGAGCATTAGCTATACTAACTGCTCTGTTCTTTATTTCAGTATAGACTGATACACAGCTGTATTCTCCAGAATCCTCATACCTGCACTAACCTAACGATTCCTTATGTCCTGTGCCGATGTTTATTAACCCCTGAGAAAGTGTCTGCTTACTCCTTCTTACTCCTTACTCCTTACTCCTGTAGCTGATTCACAAACACTTTCTCTAACCTACAGCTTACTGGCCTGTATAATGTGCAACATCTTATTGTCTGGCAGCTTTGCCTTGCTGTTGTGGAACTGGCATTCCTTAGAGTATAAATGGTTTAAGAGAAAATAAGGGACTCTCTCCTTTAACGTTTAGCCTTTTATTGTGTATTTGAGAGGTGATATTTAGCATGCAGTCTGATAATACTTGTTGCTTAGATGTGTAATTTCATGTTTTGAAGCTAGTTTTGTGTCATTTTAAGTAAACTCCCTTTAAACTATTTCCCCTGTAAACAGGTGAATGTCATGCAAACGACCAGTACATTGAACAGTTCAAAGATACTCTGAATACCTCGGTGCCAAAGACAATAGCTGGATTTATCGCTGAACCAATTCAAGTAGGTAGTTTGCCATTTCTCAATTGTAATAGCACAAATAGCAAGAAACTCAAATTTGATCATCTTTAGCTACATCCTAAACATAGACTTCTGCTGATTTTTTTATTATTTTTTTAATGCCTTAAGCATCTTAAATATTTGAAAGAATGGATGCAGTGTCTTACAATTTCAGCTTTTGTCACTGATTTCAATGGAGCTAGAATTTTGCTCATGAAGTGAAATTAAACAGAGAATCACGATTAAACATACACACTTCTGCATTTAAATAGTAAGTATGGAGTGTTCTATTGTTTAGTTTCTAATACCTTCTTCCAAATTCCATATTGCTTTTCTCTTTACTATTTCTGTAAACTTTAACTCAATTCCCCTTCCACCTCTTCCCAGCCACATTGTCCACTATATTTTTAGTAGCTGTCCAGCAAGTGGTGGCCACAGGATTCATTCTCTCGGTGCTTCACCCAAGTTTCAGAACTGCTGTATATGTGGTTCTTAAATAGGAAGAATGGAGAATATATCCTGGGAACAGTAAAGGGAAGAAAATAAATGTGAGAATTGTGACCACAGAGAAAATTAGAGCTGTTCTCTGGTTTTGCTGTCTTCTAAGCCTTTACATACTTCAGTCATAAGAAGCCATTGCAGTCCAGGTGTAGAGTGGAATTTCTGATTCAAATGAAAACTGACAAGGTGAACAGAAATTGAGGAACAGTGTTTTAAACAATTAACCAAAGAAGGGACGTGAATTCTCTGGTTAACTTTGTCATCACAGTTTCTGGGTTTCTCAGTTTGTAGGTTTTCAAGGTACTTGTTTTGGCAGTTTATCTTTAATCGATTCTGTCTTACAGTGATCCAGTTTACAGTATGGCCTCAAACATTTATACCAGCACAACTAATGGAACAGCAAACTGCCCTGTGGAATGGGAATGAGTGACCTGAGCAGGAACTTTTTTGAAGCAGTTTCACTGCTGAAGTAGAAACTTGAGACAACAGTCTTGCTATTTCCTGAGGGCTGCTGGTATTTTTTCTTATTGTAGGATAGTCACACAGTGGAACTCCTGTTTCTTGTCTGTTCCTGAAGACATTGTCTTTTTTGTCTTGGCAGGGCGTTAATGGAGCTGTTCAGTACCCAAGAAGTTTCTTAAAGGAAGCTTATCAGCTAGTACGGGAAAGAGGGGGCGTTTGTATTTCAGATGAAGTGAGTTTTTTTGACGTAAGAGCTCTAGAATTTGGTGTACCTCTGAAAGTCGTCTTAAAAGAATCGAAGTGAATGCAAACTGGAAGCCTGAAAATAATCTAATGAAATGCTATGCATTTCGTAGCTTAACACAGTGCATCTTCCAAGCAGAGGAGCCTCCCAGTTTTTACTGTCTTTATTCTGCTATGTGGTATTCTGATTTTAGACACAGGTAATGTCAGTAGCCCACTTCAGTCCTTAACTTTTGGGAGCAGTAAATTTACACAAATGCAGCTAATAAATGCCAGCTGTGATGTGAGATGTGTCACAGTAACAGTTTCTCTTACAAGTGTTGTTGGCATATGTAAACTCTGGAAGGGAGTTGGTTGCTGTACCTCTGCAATTACATTTTATAAATAAAATTTGCTTAGCTAAAGCTATTTCAAAATAGTAGCAAACACTTCAAAGTGATGATGATATGTACCTCAAGCATTGCAGTAGTAGAAATCAGGAATCATGGGATTGCAATTTTGAAATGTGATAAGCACCTGCATTTCCTCTCCATTTTGAAATGGAAGCTGCAGCTTATTTGTGCATCTCACCGTGCCTAAGACATGGTGACATGTTATCTCTTTCATATGTGAAAGAAAAACCCAATTGCAATAAACAGTATTTTGTGCAAAGCCATCTGAATAAGGATCCTAATACAAGTTGACTCCAGATGTAGTTGCAGTTTAATGCAAATGAGTAACAATAGAAAAACAAGAAAAAGAAACTGTATTGTAAAATATGAGAAGGTGATGGAGATTTCTCTGGATTTTTCTTTTGAAAGGTACAGACAGGATTTGGACGGACAGGCAGCCATTTCTGGGGATTTCAAACACATGATGTAGTCCCTGACATTGTTACTTTGGCAAAAGGAATTGGTAATGGCTTTCCAATGGCAGCTGTTGTTACAACAAAAGGTATAACTGTTCTGTTCTGCTAAGGATCAAAATAGACCAATTACAAAATACACTATACAATAATTACTTACTGGAGAGATGTGGGTTCAAACAGCTGAGCTTTATTAATAATCTTCGTCTGAATCTGTCTTTTGACAAATGAATTGGATTCTCATTACTCGCTTGTTTTACCAAGCGCTGTGCTATACCAGTGCAAAGCTTTATTTAAGTGAGGTTAGTTGTATAACTGAAGCAGGGATGACTTTGTGAGTTGTTGGTAGAGCTGGTAATAGATCCTGGAAATCCTCACTGAATTCACCATTTTACTAATTAATGTACTGTGAGTATATAGGGCAGCATGTTAGCCAACTACTTGATTCATACAAATGACTGGCTGAATCCAGTGAAGAAAATTTTTAGATGTCAGTTTAAGGGGACAACTGACAGCATGTTAGAAGTGTGACTTTTTAAAAAGTCTGTTTTTAGCATCTGCTAGAGACTATAGTTTTGGGAAAGAATCATATTGCACAGACTACTTGCAGGAAAAAAATAAAATCTTTCTATTGCGTTGTCTCCAGTAGAATCAGGGTTGAAGCAGACAGCAAATTTAACTTAACAGTTAAGTTAAATATCCTGGTTTCGGCTGGGATAGAGTTAATTTTCTTCCTAGTAGCTGGTACAGTGCTGTGTTTTGGATTTAGGATGAGAACAAAGTTGATAACACACCGATGTTTTAGTTGTTGATAAGCAGTGCTTATCAACAAGGACTTTCCAGCTTCCCATGCTCTACTGACTGAGAAGGCTGGAGGTGCACAAGAAGCTGGGAGGGGGCACAGCCAGGACAGCTGACCCAAACTGGCCAAAGGGACATTCCATACCATGTGACGTCATGCTCAGTAGCCTTGTATATTTTATTATTATTGTTATTACTATTTTATTTCAATTATTAAGCTGTTGTTATCTCAACCCACGAGTTTTCTCACTTTTACTTTTCTGATTCTCTCTCCCATCCCATGGGGGGCGGGGTGGGGGAGTGAGCGAGCGGCTGTGTGGTGCTCAGTTGCTGGCTGAGGTTAAACCACGACATTAAAGCAGGTAAGTACTGTTACCAAACATAAGGCAACTGTAAGAGTAAACAATCTTGTTCTTTTTCTTTTAGAGATTGCAAGTTCCTTGGCTCAAAACCTTCACTTTAATACATTTGGAGGAAGCCCTTTGGCCTGCGTGGTTGGAGCTGCAGTTCTTGATGTAGGAAGAACGTTATATAAATTTATATATTCCGCACTCTTTCTTGTAGCAAAAGATGAAAAATGTTTACATTTATTCTTACTATAAAGTTACATTTTTTTAAATAACTGTATAAAATGCATAAACATATGCATGTATTATGCATACATGGCCAATGTGCCCTATGAGTAAGAAAAAATAAATTCCTGGTTAGTTCCACTGCAAAATTTTCATCCCTCTAGCAAGAATAGGAGTCCTCTAATTATGTTTTCAGAATCATCTTTCTTTGTCTCCCTTACATTCTTTACTTTGTTAATAAAAATGTAGGAAAGCACTTTCTCAAAAGCCTTAGCTAACTCTTTCATAGGACTATGCAAATCCCCAGCTAAACCAAATTTATTCTCTGGCACACATGCTTAACAAAATTGTTTCAACTCCACAGCTTTTACCTTATGCCTAAAAAGCCTTAATGACCAGATAGTTAAAAATATTTAAGGTCAGAATTCCTTTGGGGAAAAAAAACCTCATGAAAAAGACAATAGAAAAATTTGCACCATATTTCACTTATTATCCAGCAGAAAATCAGTCGGTGGGCAGTAGGTCGCTATTTAATTTGTCTTCATCATATACAGACCATTTTTCCTTTAATCTCACTTCATTACAGCAGATGCTGTTTCTACTCATGTTACTTTCCTGAGTGTTTTGGGGTTTTTTTAAGCTATTTTATAAGATAGTTGATCATATAAATAAAAACATTTTGAAAAAATAGTTTACAGTTTTAAATGAGATTGTCTGAACCCATGTTTTGGGGTTTTTTGGCTCTGAAGTAACTTGGAGCCTGGATCTGAAGTAAGCCCAGGGAGGTTTTCAGAATCAGGAAGAATAAAATGGACTTGGAAGAAGGGGGAGGGGGGAGGGAAGAAAAGAAAAAAGGAGAAGCACCCACTTGAACTTCTGTAATTGTATTTTTTGTTTTTCATCTGAATTTTCTTAATGCAAGTATTAAGTTCATAAAATAGTTTGTGCATGTCAGTGCTGATAGCTGGCTGCATGTTAGAACTTTGATTAAGGAGAGCAGAGTAAGGAACGAAAAGAAAGATTGTGATTTAAAAGCGTGGTGTTGGTGAGTCTAATTAAAACACTCAGGTTGTTTCCTGAAAGACTGCCTAGTAGACATAGGTATGCCTTGTCAAATTATAATCTTCTCGTGATACTGGAGAAAGAATTAAAATATTTCTGGTAAGATTTTGAAAATAATCCTGCTGTTCAGATATTCTTCAGTTATGACTACATGTGAGCATGAATTACTGGATTATGTTTATGGAATAATAAGTAAAATGTGAAAAACTCCACAGCAACATCAAAATGGTATGTTCAGTTGTACTCTGATGCCATTAGAAGATTGTAAGAAGAGAAAAAAAATGTAAGGACCATAGTAGTGAAGGAACATAGTCTGCAAGGAAGTGAGATAAACATAATGTGTTTTCAAGCTAAATGGGGATTAACCAACTGTATTGGAAGCTTTTCCTGCAAAACTGTCATTGTACATAATTTTAACCAGGCTATTGAAGAAGATGGTCTACAAAAAAACAGTGAGGATGTGGGAACGTATATGCTACTGGAGTTGGCTAAACTACGAGATAAATTTGAGATTGTTGGAGATGTCCGTGGCAAGGGACTTATGATTGGAGTAGAAATGGTGACAGATAAGGTTAGTGATTTACTTTATTCCTTTCAATTTACAGTGCCATTGAAAGTTTTATCACATTTTATTTCAGTTGAAATGAGAGGAAGATTTTCTATTAAAAAACAGCTAGTAAATGAGAAAACATTGCTGTGGCTAAAAATGAGCCAGAACATTCCAGCATTTCAAATATTTCACAAGCTTTGAGTAAACAGTGACTTGTGTACCTTAATTGCATAAACTCATCTTAGAAAGCAGATATATTATGCAGCTAATGTTTTCAGCTGGAGGTGGGATTTACTGGAGAGTCTGGAATATACATCTTTTTCATAGAACTGATTTAGAATATCTAAGTGAGGTTTAATGTTCACTTTCCTTAGGACAGTCGCCACCCTCTTCCAGCTGAAGAAATCAATCAGATCTGGGAGGACTGTAAAGACATGGGGGTTCTGATCGGCAGAGGAGGACTCTACAGTCAGCTGCTGAACCTCTGGTTATACATAAAGCTTCTTTTCTGTCCTCCTGAACTACATCCAGTTTCCCTCAAGCTAAATTAACTTTAGTTTAGTAAATAAACTAGAAAACATACACTCTTAGGAACTAGCTCTGTTTAATTTTGTGTAACTTACAAATTGAGCCAGAGCTATTTGTTTCAAGTATGCTGAAATAGCTCTAAGCTTGCAGTTTGCTTTTCTAGGGGAGGTTGTGGGAACTGGAAAGGAAATGTCCTATAATGTGTGTAAATTAGAAGAAATCGGCAATATTCAGCTCTGTGAAGTCTTTGCTACTGTTCAGGTTATCACCTGACCTGTCAGCACAGAGCAAGTTTGGTTTTGCCAGTTCTTTCATTCTAGAGAGCTGGTAGCATTCCACCTGGATGGTAATAAAAAAAAAGTCATTAATAAGCAAGTTCAGCAGCGCAGCACTCAAGTGAGAGTTGCATGAGAATGGGCATCAGCCCACACCAATTGAGGATGCACCATGCTGTATCCAGGGCACTGTGTCACCAGCTTCTTACAGCATGCGAGTTGATAGCAGAGAATTGCCTCAGGGCTGGTCAGGTCAGTGAAGCCCTCTGACATAGAGGAAGCAGCTTCTGTATGGGATAGATGAAGGATGGCTAAAATAAATAGGACGCTGCATCTGTCACCTCATTGGTTCTTCCACACATCACAGACTAACAGGCTGCAGCTCAGAGCGTAGTAAAATCTGATTCTGTCTCACGGGAGTGCTGTTTATCTGTGAGTTTATCTGTTTATCTCTGCTGTGGGTGGGAAAGGCCATTACTCTTGCTGCACGAGGTCCTGGGATATGACGACAGAAAAACTTAAACTGAAGGTTTAAGATTCTTAGGGAAGTTAAATACACTTGGAAACATTATAATATAGATCAAACATTTGGATTTAAGAACCTAAGTTCTTGGCAAGTTAAACTGTGCATATATATCTGTTCCTGATCAGCACGCATTCAAGCTATGGTACCCCAACTGAGAGTTAGCATTTAGTGATTCTTTGATAATACATTCTCTTAGAAGCCTTAGAAAAAGCCTATAATATAACAGTAAATCAGGTGACACAATGCAGGAGGCTGCCACTCTCAATAGATATTACTTTTCCCTGTGGGAAAGCTGCCAGAAAGGAAAATACACTTATGTCTCTGTTCTTTCTTAGTACAAACCCATCTAAGGTTTTATGCTAGCTCTGTCTGGAATAACAGCTGCAAACATGATCTGCTTTAGCCAGGCCTCTTGGAGGCAGTTGATTTGCCACAAGAGTGGAGTGGGGAGTGGGATGCAGTCAAGTCCAAAATTGCCTCACTTCAGAGTGCATTTATCAGAAGCCTCAGTCCCTGCTCTGCTGTTACCACACTTTTGGTTAGATTTTTTTAGGCAGAAGGGGAGCGCTGACCTAGACGGGCTGCTAGAAACTGTATGCTTTCTGTACAATTTTAAGGATTTCTCCCCCACCCCCCTCTCTTCTCAGACATTTAGAATTAAACCTCCTATGTGCATTACTAAAAAGGATGTCGACTTTGCTGTGGAAGTACTTCATTCTGCTTTACAGAGACACATGGAAAGAGCAGCTGCAAAATAGACGTGACTTGTTTCCTTGCATCCATGAGATGCACACAGAACCCCTGATACTTGCCACCCAGACCCTGCACTAATCTACACTGGATAAGAAAATCATCGTCTGAAGATGAAATACTTGTTCAGTATCATAAAAGCAGTCTGACAGATCCCGTGTTTAATAAAGAATATGCTCTAATCTGTTTTGTAAACATACAGTTCAGTTCTACAGTGGTGTTGTGTATTAGCTGCATACCTATTCTAGCATTAGCATAAAAACCCCTGATTGTATTAAGTGGGTATCAGATGAAGAGGCAGACACATACTCATCTTTCATCAATGAAAGTCGTAACAAAAATTGGGTAATATTTAGAAAGAGGTAATATTTAGAATATAATGGCAAATTAATAGAGTTGTTTTGGGGAAGTACATGCTGTTCGGACTTTGTAGCATCCGTAGTCCCCTTGGGTGTGGTAGCAGCGCTGCGGTGGAGTGCCTCCTGCTGCTCTGGCAGTGCTCCTTTGTACCACAGCCTTTACTGTTGGCTCTTAAATGTTTTCACAGAAGCACCACACGCTCCCGAATGGCGGAGCATTCTGGTGCAGAGCTAGCTGGGTCCCCAACCACCTTCCACAGTGGTCACCACTGCTGCTGCCCCCACCCCTGCTACCAAAACCTTGTCATTTATACCCAATACATACAAGCATTTGTAAAACACACAAATGGTAAAGTACTTGTTTTTATTTAAATAAGAAAAAAAATTAAGTCACAAAGTAATACTGCAGGGTTAAGTCTGTGAGGTTTCACTTACGTAAGCCCGGTCAATCTCTGGCTGAGAACCACCCTGACCAGAACATAACTGGAGGTTTCAAACAGAGTTAGAACTGTTTACCCTTACTACAAGGATACGCTGTAATTAGAGCATGAAAAAATCTGTGTGCACACAGAAGTTGAAATATTTCTAATTACAGTATTTATTTTTATCATGGGGCTCTAATCCAGTCATCATCCTCTCCAAAATATGCTTTTCCTCCTGCTGCTTTTGGGATTGCACAGCACACCCATTAGTCATTTAGCAAAGATGCAAATAACATGCCATGTTTCTTTCTTACATAATCACTTTTTTTTATGTTTTAGTTCATTATCTCCTTCAGTTTCCAACAAAAAAAAAAAGGCATTGTGGACAGTCAGCAAGAACTGTACATTTATCATTTTACTTTCATTCAAATTTTAATATTTGAATAATTCCTTGACCCAATAAAGATACCACTTCAACTTGTGGGGGAAGGAGAGTATTCTGCCATTTTGTGTGATGAGTTGAAACTTCAGAGAAACTTAGTTAATGCAGGATCAGTGCTTCCGGAAAATTACACTCTAGGGGTTTCCTAAACAACCTGCTACAGCCCTTGCTAGGCACTGCCTTCTCCAACTGCATTGACAATTCCTGTGTAAAATCCACTTCCACTCCAAAATCAGGTCTTCGTCATCCCACCTTTTTTTTTTTTTTTTTTATGTGTTTTCTAATCCAGGATGTTTTTTTTTT